TTCTCAGTTTGAATGTTACTGGTTTGTAGAAATGCTACTGATTTTTGTACACTGATTTTTGTATCTTGAAACTTGATTGAAGTCATTTATCAGTTTTTGTAGCCTTTTGGTAGAGTTTTCTAGGTTCTCTAGGTATAGAATCATATCAGCAGCAAAGAGAGATACTTTGACTTACTTTCCTATTTGGATGCTTTTTTTCTTTCTCCTGCCTGATTGCTGTGGCTAGGACTTCAGTACTGTGTTTAATAAGAGTGGTGAGAGTGGACATCCTTGTTTTGTTCTGGTTCTCAAGGGGGGTCCTTCCAGCTTTTGCCCATTCAGTATGATGGCTATGGGTTTGTCATAGATGGTTATTTTGAGGTTTGTTCCTCCAGTGCCCAGTTTGTTGAGGGTTTTTAACATGAAGGGGTTTTATTAAAAGCTTTCTCGGCCGGGCGCGGTGGCTCAAGCTTGTAATCCCAGCACTTTGGGAGGCCGAGGCGGGTGGATCACGAGGTCGAGAGATCGAGACCATCCTGGTCAACATGGTGAAACCCCGTCTCTACTAAAAATACAAAACATTAGCTGGGCATGGTGGCACGTGCCTGTAATCCCAGCTACTCAGGAGGCTGAGGCAGGAGAATTGCCTGAACCCAGGAGGCGGAGGTTGCGGTGAGCCGAGATCGCGCCATTGCACTCCAGCCTGGGTAACAAGAGTGAAACTCCGTCTCAAAAAAAAAAAAAAAAAAAAAAAAGCTTTCTCTTCATCTGTTGAGCTGATTATGTGGTTTTTGTTTTTAATTTTGTTTATGTCGTGAATCACATTTATTGACTTGTATATTGTTGAACCACCCTTGCATCCCAGGAATGAAGCCTACTTGATTGTGGTAAAGTAACTTTCAAGTGCTGCTGGATTCAGTTCACTAGTATTTTGTTGAGGATTTTTGTATGTATGTTCATCAGAATATTGGCCTGTAGTTTTCTTTTTTCACTGTGTTTTTTGCCAAGTTTTTGGTATCAGGATGATACTGGATTCACAGAATGAGTTGGGGAGGATTCCTTCCTTTTTTTTTTTTTTTTTTTTTTTTTATTGTAGCGGAGTTGGGTGATAGTTTCCTTAGAATTGGTACCAACTCTTCTTTATACATTTAGTAAATTCAACTGTGAATGCACCTCATCTGGGGCTTTTTGGTAGATAGGGTTTTTTTTTAATTATTATTATTATGGATTCAATTTCAGAACTCAGTATTTGTTCAGGGTTTTGATTTCTTCTTGATTTAATCTTGGGAGACTATATCTTTCTAGGAATTTATCCATTTCCTCTAGATTTTCTAGCTTGTGTGCATAGAGCTGTTCGTAATAGTTTCTGATGATGTTTTGTATTTCTGTAGAATCAGTTGTAATGTCACCTTTGTCATTTTTGATTGTGCTTATTTGGGCCTTCTCTCTTTTCTTTGTTTAGCTAGTGGTCTGTTCTTGTTTATCCTCTCAAAGAACCAACTTTCGGTTTCGTGGATTCTTTATATGGGTCTTTGTTCTCAATTTTGTTGAGTTCTGCTCTCATTTCTTTTCTTCCGCTACATTTGGAATTTGTTTGTTCTTGTTTTTCTAGTTCCTCCAGGTGTGGTGTTAGGTTGTTAATTTGAGATCTTTCTAACTTTTCGATAAGGGCAATTAGCACTATAAACTTTCCTCTTAACACTGCCTTTGCTGCATCCTGGAGGTTTTGGCATGTTGTGTCTCTGTTTTTGTTTATTTCAAAGAATTTTTTAAATTTCTGCTTTACTTTCATTTCTTTACACAAAAGTCATTCACAAGGAAGTTGTTTAATTTCCATGTAGTTGTGTGGTTTTGAGAGACCTTCTTGGTATTGATTTCTGTTTTTATTCCACTGTGGCCCCAGAGTATGGTTACTATGATTTTGGTTTTTTTATTTTATTGAAACTTGCTTTTTGGTCAAGCATGTGGTCGATCATAGGGTATGTTCTATGTGCAGATGAAAATAATGTATATTCTGTGGTTGATGGATAGAGTATTCTGTAGACGTCTATTAAATCCAGTTGGCCAAGTGTCAAATTTAAGTTCAGAATTTCTTTGTTAGTTTTTTGTCTCAATGATCTAACACCATCAGTGGGGTATTGAAGTCTCCTACTATCACTATGTGGCTAATTATTTTTGTAGGCCAAGAAAACCTTGTTTTATGAATTTGGGTGCAGCAATATTGGGTGCATATGTATGGAGGATAGTTATGTCTTCTTGTTAAATTGAACCCTCTATCATTATGTAATGACCTTTTGTGTCCATTTTTACTGTTAAAAGTCTATTTTGAATCTGTTATAGGAGTAGTGACCCCTGCTCTTTTTTGTTTTCTATTTGCATAATAAATCTCTCTCCAATGGCCCGGTGCGGTGGCTCGGTGCAGTGGCTCACACCTGTAATCCCAGCACTTTGGGAGGTTGAGGTGGAGAGATCATGAGGTCAGGAGATCAAGACCATCCTGGCCAACATGGTGAAACCCCATCTCTACTAAACATACAAAAAGTAGGCATGCATGGCAGAACGCACCTGTAGTCCCAGCTATTCAGGAGACTGAGGCAGAATTGTTTGAACCTGGGAGGTAGATGTTGCGGTGAGCTAAGATCGTGCCATTGCACTCCATCCTGGGCAACAATAAGCAAAGCTCTGTCTTTTAAAAAAAAAAAAAAATCTTTCTCCAGCTATTTACTTTGTGCCTGTCAATGTCATTGCATGTTAGATGGGTCTCCTGAAGACACCAATCAAATGAATCTTTTTTTTTTTTAATCTACTTTGCAAGTTTGTGTCTTTTAAGTGGGGTGTTTAGACCATTTACCTTCAAGGTTAATATTGATATGTGAGACTTTGGTCCTATCATAAAGTAGTTAGCTGGTTGCTTCATAGTTCTACTGTGTGGTTGCTTTATAGGGTCTGTGGGCTATGTACTTAAGTAAGTGTGTTTTTGTGGTAGTAGGTATTATTTTTATGTTTCTATGTTTAGAACTCCCTTAAGGATCTCTTGTAAGGCTGGTCAAATGGTAACAAATATCCTTAGCACTTGCTTATCTGGAAAAGATTTTATTTCTCCTTCACTTATGAAACTTAGTTTGGCAGGATATGAAATTCTTGGTGGGAATTTCTTTACGAATGCTAAAAACAGGCCCCAATCTCTCCTGGCTTATAAAGTTTCTTCTGAGAAGTCTACTGTTAACTTGATGGGGTTCCCTTTGTGTGTGATCTGACCTTTTTCTCTAGCTGCCTTGAAGATTTTTTCTTTAGTGTTGACCTTAGACACCCTGGTGACTGTATGCCTGGTGATGATCAGTTTTTATAATACCTCACAGCTATTCTCAGATTTCTTGTACCTTGATGTCTACCTTTCTAGCAAGATTAGAGAAATACTCTTGAGTTATTCCCTCAAATGTGTTTGTCAGGTTGTTTACTTTTCTACCTCCTCTCTCAGGAATGTCATTAATTGGTAAGTTTGGTTGCTTTACATAATCTTATATTCCTCAAAGACTCTGTTAATTTATTCTTTTTTCTTCATTTTATCTAACTGAGTTATTTCAGAATACCAGTCTTCAAGATCCAAAATCTTCTGCCTGGCATTTACTAACTTCCTAAACTTAGGAAGCAACTATGCCTCTGTAACCTTCAGTTTTTAAACATGTAAAATGCAGGTATTATGTACTCAACCTGCTTGACAAGATTGTTGTAAGATTCCAATGAAATAACATTTTGTAGAATATTTTACATGTTGAAGCATTATTTATGGGTACAGTATTATCTCACATATCTTAACCCCCCAGCTAACAGGCTGTATCCTTAAGGGTATTCCCTTCTCACTGTCATTCCTCTCCTTTCACATAGCACAAATTCTGGTCAGTTGACTTGAGTGCAAATAAGTTACTTTACCTGGATACAGAAGTTTGTCAACCTCCCAACTATAAATATGAAAGCAGCTTATAATATTTACATTTCTTTAACATACCATTTCAAAACTGCAGATGTGTGTTATGAGTATTTCAGTATATGTCCTGTCCCTGTTAATGCGTAGGTTTATAATAGGGTGATACATTTTATATACTTCTTCGTTTCATCCATGCTACCTGCCACAGAGTCTTGTACATGGTAGATACTGAATAACTATCAAATGAATGAGTAGTTATTAAGACCCACAGGCTTTTCAGAGAAAACATTACCAGCCTCTCTAGGACGAGGACCCCAAATCTGTGCTCAAAGCCCATGGCTTTGAGCCATATCTTAATTAGGTAAGAGACAGGATAAAGTGGTATATTAGAACCCGTTCTAGAGATATGGCTTTGTAAGAAAAGTATCTAGTTAAAAGGAAACACAATCTAGAGACCTTATATAGTTTTAGCCTTACTTACTTAATAGTGAAATAATCGCCGGGCGCGGTGGCTCAAGCCTGTAATCCCAGCACTTTCGGAGGCTGAGGCGGGTGGATCACGAGGTCAAGAGATCGAGACGATCCTGGTCAACATGGTGAAACCCCGTCTCTACTAAACACGCGTGCCTGTAATCCCAGCTACTTAGGAGGCTGAGGCAGGAGCATTGCCTGAGCCCAGGAGGCGGAGGTTGCGGTGAGCCGAGATCGTGCCATTGCACTCCAGCCTGGGTAACAAGGGCGAAACTCCGTCTCAAAAAAAAAAAAAGTGAAATAATCCTTCAACAGAAAAAAATAATGATCAAAGATAGGAAAAACCAACTTGAAAGAGAAAAACAAAGATAACATAAAAACCAGAAATGGTATTTATTCATCTAGAACTTAGAGGAGAGGGTTGAATTAAGGAATTTATAAAAATAGTATAGCAGTGATGAGCTATATGGTTATGATTAAGAATCTATAATTTATCTCTAATAATATTAACATGCGTGGAAGTATTCATATTAAACCAGTTTTTAAGAACTTTCACTTAGTAACTATAGAAGTGATCAATTCTCTTATTTTCCTTTAAAAATTTATATATTATTTTTGTGTTTAGGATCATTTTACTTCTCCAGATGAATATGATGACCCTACTGTGCTCTATGAAGCCATTGTGTCTCATGAGAAAAACCTCGTAATAGCCCACGAAGGGGACCCTGCATGGCGGAGCGCAGTACTTGCCAACTCTCCCTCCTTGCTTGCTCTGCGGCATGTCATGGATGATGGCACCAATGAATATAAAATCATCATGCTCAACAGACGCTACCTGAGCTTCAGAGTCATTAAAGTAAGTGAGATATTATTTGTGTCCAAAAAATAGAAGTTGAATAACTTCATCTAAACTTTTTTTTTCTTGAGGCAGTCTCACTTTGTGGCCCAGGCTAGAGTGCAGTGGTGTGATCACAACTCACTGCAGGCTCTCAACCTCCACCTCACCGTCTCGAGAAGCTGGTACTACAGGCATGCACCACCATGCCTGGCTAACTTTTGTGTTTTTTGTAGAGACGGGGTTTTGCTGTGTTGCCCAGGCTGGTCTCGAACTCCTGGGCTCAAGTGATCCACCTGAATCAAAAGGCTGATCCACTCAGCCTCCCAAAGTGGTACAATTACAGGCGTGAGCCACTGCACCCAGCCTTGATCTAAACTTTTTAAAAGTGATTGAAAGTTTTTTCACAGAAAAAATGTAATGCCCATACTACATTAGTCTTTGTTGTTTATGAGCACTTAATTTGACTTACTTTTTTCAGTACTTTATTCTGTCCTCTGAAAGTTTCTCATGTGCCTTAAAGCCTTAAATTTTTTGGTTATTTCAGTTTTGACAGTTTTTTATCCATTAAATGGCAGATCTTATATCTTTTATATATGCAATTTGGGCAGCATCTCTTTGTAAAAAGTCAGCACCATATTGCTAATATGATATGATTCCTAGGTTGCAAAATGATAGCATACTGTGTACTTAATAGACATCAGAAGTTAAATAGTTCATTGTAACTTGTCCTTGTTTTTTTAAACATCTTAGGGCTTTAAGAGGCTTAATTTCTAAAATTTTATTTTGATAGTTTGTAGTTATTTTTTTTTAATTTGCATTAATCAACCGATAAGTGTTATAAACATTTTTTCAACCCTAAATATTTATCTCTCGTTTCTATAAAAGATATCTATTGTCTTATTTATAAAATTGAGTGCTTTGCCAATTTAAAAAACTAAATTGGCTTCATTTACTTGGTACTTTCAAAAACAGAGCATGAAGAAAGAGCTCTATAGATGCTTATTATTTAGCAACCTGCTAATGACAAAGGGAAATTGGTTACCTCTTATTTAAACATGTCTTACTTATACTTGTTTCCTGCTTTTCACAACTAGTTATTGTAATATCTTTTGTATTCCTCCCATTTCTGCTTTTCTGTTTCTTGGCCCCTTGACCTGATTCCCTTGTGTTTTGGTTTTCAGGTGAATAAGGAATGTGTCCGAGGTCTTTGGGCGGGTCAACAGCAGGAGCTTGTTTTTCTACGTAACCGTAACCCAGAGAGAGGTAGCATCCAAAATGCAAAGCAAGCCCTGAGAAACATGATAAACTCATCTTGTGATCAACCTATTGGCTACCCAATCTTTGTCTCACCCCTGACAACTTCTTACTCTGACAGCCACGAACAGCTTAAAGACATTCTTGGGGGTCCTATCAGCTTGGGAAATATCAGGAACTTCATAGTGTCAACGTGGCACAGGTGAGCCAAGGGGTTGCATTATTCAGTGCTGGTGTATCCCTGACCCTCTTAATCTAGGCATGTGCAGTAGTGTCACCTGGGAAGCTTGTAGAAAAAAACTACAGGTGCCATGGTACATTATTAACCCATTATTTCTGAACTTCAAGAAGTAGAATCTGAGCTTTCTTATCAAAATCTTATTAGATAAATCTGATGTATAACTGTGGTTAACCATTGCTCTGTTACTTGATAGAATCTTGGAAAATTCCCTTTATTTGTTTAATTTTTTTTTTAACTTTCTGTTGTACATTGCCACTATTAGAATATGTGGGTATTTGTTCTATACAGACAGGGAATTAAGAGAAAAACAACATGTTAAGTGGATTACTTTTTCTAGTTTACCATTCTGTGTCAACACTAGGGGGAGCACTCTGTACATGTTGAGACTTGATGGCAATGCAGAGATTCTGCTGCCTTTTTAACAATACATTCTCATATCTGAAATCTAGAGTGTTTTCAAGTATTCACATGAATTTTTTCTCTGTCTTTTGTCTAGTAAATGATGATGTCTGGAGTAGGAACATCATAGTTTGGATGGTGAAAAAACTTTGCAGAACATTATTTTCCTTTTCTTAAGGGTTGTTCAGATTCTTATATGTAGCTTAAGGAAAACCAAATCTGGCAACTAAAGCGGCAAACTCTCAAACGTTTAATCTCTGCCCAAACAGAAGGCACAATATAAGCCATGAGAGTGTTCAAAGAAATTTTCTTTCCAAAAAATATTTAATATGTTACAATTACCTTAAAGAAATTCTTTCCCAGGCCGGGCGTGGTGGCTCAAGCCTGTAATCCCAGCACTTTGGGAGGCCGAGGCAAGCGGATCACGAGGTTAAGAGATCGAGACCATCCTGGTCAACATGGTGAAACTCCGTCTCTACTAAAAATACAAAAAATTAGCTGGGCATGGTGGTGCGTGCCTGTAATCCCAGCTTCTCAGGAGGCTGAGGCAGGAGAATTGCCTGAACCCAGGAGGCGGAGGTTGCGGTGAGCCGAGATCACGCCATTGCAATTGCCTGAACCCAGGAGGCGGAGGTTGCGGTGAGCCGAGATCACACCATTGCACTCCAGCCTGGGTAACAAAAGCGAAACTCTGTCTCAAAAAAAGAAATTCTTTCCCTCTAAGAAAAATGGCAGATAGTGCCCAATTGTCCTTGTTTGCTTAGTCACTCTCCATTTTTTAAAAATAGGGAAAACGATTTCAGCACCTCTCTTCAAGTACATGATATTAACAGTATAAATAAATTAGGTTTTCAGGGGTTACATACTTCAGAGTAACTGAACAGACACTGGCACTGGTAAGAATGGTGTTGCCGGGCTGGGCATGGTGGCTCACACCTGTAATCCCAGCACTTTGGCAGGCCGAGGTGGGCAGATCGCAAGGCTAACATGGTGAAGTCCCATCTCTACTAAAAATACAAAAATTAACTGGGTGTGGTGGCAGGCGCCCGTAGTCCCAGCTACTTGAGAGGTTGAGGCAAGAGAATCGCTTGAATCGGGAGGCAGAGGTTGCAGTGAGCTGAGATCACACCACTGCACTCCAGCCTGGCAACAGAGTAAGACTCTGTCTCAAAAAAAAAAAACAACAAAAAACCAAGAACAACAACAACAATTCTGTTTCCAGCTGTGATTTTTTTTTTGAAATTTAATTAAAATAAATGAAAAAATTACAGAAATTTCCAAACAGTTGGCTGATTATACAAAATGCATTCAGCCATGAGAAACTTTTTTTTTTTATTGTACTTTAAGTTATGGGGTACATGTGCAGATCTTGCAGAATTGTTGTATAGGTACACACATGCCATGGTGGTTTGCTGTCTCCATACCCCGTCACCTACATCAGGCATTTCTCCCAGTGTTATCCCTCCCCAACCTCCACGCACCCCCCACCATCCCTCCCCTAGCACCCCAACCCCCAACATTCCCCAGTGTGGGATGTTCCCCTCCTTGTGCCCATGTGTTCCCATTGTTCAACGCCCACCTATGAGTGAAAATGTGCAGTGTTTGGTTTTCTTTTCTTTTGTCAGTTTGCTGAGAATGATGGTTTCCAGATTCATCCACGTCCCTGCAAAGGACATGAACTCGTTGTTTTTTGTGGCTGCATAGTATTCCATGGTGCATATGTGCACATTTGCTTTGTCCAGTCTATCATCGATGGGCATTTGGATTGGTTCCAGGTCTTTGTTATTGTAAACAGTGCTGCAGTGAACATATGTGTGCATGTGTCTTTATAATAGAACGATTTATAATCCTTTGGGTATATACCCAGTAATGGGATTGCTGGGTCAAATGGAATTTCTTTTTCTAGGTCCTTGAGGAATTGCCACACTGTCTTCCTCAATGGTTGAACGAATTTACACTCCCACCAACAGTGTAAAAGTGTTCCTATTTCTCCACATCCTCTCCAGCATCTGTTGTCTCCAGATTTTTTTAATGGTCGCCATTCTAACTGGTGTGAGATGGTATCTCATTGTGGTTTTGATTTGCATTTCTCTAGTGACCAGTGATGATGAGCATTTTTTCCTATGTTTGTTGGCCTCATGTATGTCTTCTTTTGTAAAGTGTCTGTTCGTATCCTTTGCCCACTTTTGAGTGGGTTTGTTTGCTTGTTTCTTGTAAATCTGTTTTAGTTTCTTGTAGATTCTGGATATTAGCCCTTTGTCAAATGGGTAGATTGCAAAAAAAATTTTTCCCATTCTGTTGGTTGCCGGTTCACTCTAATGATTGTTTCTTTTGCTGTGAAGAAGCTCTTAAGTTTAATTAGATCCCATTTGTCTATTTTGGCTTTTGTTGCCATTGCTTTTGGTGTTTAATCATGAAGTCCTTGCCTATGCCTATGTCCTGAATGGTTTTGCCTAGATTTTCTTCTAGGGTTTTTATGGTGTTAGGTCTTACGTTTATGTCTTTAATCCATATGAAGTTAATTTTAGTGTAAGGTGTAAGGAGGGGGTCCAGTTTCTGTTTTCTGCACACAGCTAGCCAGTTATGCCAACACCATTTATTAAACAGGGAATCCTTTCCCCATGGCTTGTTTTTTTTAGGTTTGTCAAAGATCAGATAGTTGTAGATGTGTGGCGTTGCTTCTGAGGCCTCTGTTCTGTTCCATTGGTCTATATCTCTGTTTTGGTACCAGTACCATGCTGTTTTGATGTTAATGGTACAACTGAGTTATATACAGTTCTTTATCATGGTGCAGGACAGATAATAGAGTGTATAAAAGTGAAGTAAATTGGAAAGATTTGAGACAGTGAATATGAGGGTTTTAGTTCTTAAGCCATTCTTTGAAAACGTATGAGGTTTTTTGTTCCTAATATTCACTGCACCATAAAGACTTAAAAGGTAAACATTAGCAGCATTAGCAGTTCAGAATAGCTGGAAGAAGACTAAAATACCTATTTTGAAGTTATCTTGGGATATTGCTTTTTACTCTGATACTTGTTCCTAGGCTTAGGAAAGGTTGCGGAGCTGGATGTAACAGTGGTGGCAATATTGAAGATTCTGATACTGGAGGTGGGACTTCCTGCACTGGTAACAACGCAACAACTGCCAACGATCCCCACAGCAACGTATCCCAGGGAAGCACTGGAAATCCTGGGCAGGGATCAGGGATCGGGCTCCACCCACCTGTCACATCTTATCCTCCACCACTAGGTAATGTGAAACAAAGTTATATGTCTAATGTTAGCTTCTTAGCAGAGGCTGGTTAGTGTATGTGTATAAAGAGGACTGCATGTGAGCTACTTGAAAATACAGAAATAGAATTTTTTTTAATTCCAGGTTGTACTTGTATTATCCCATTCATTCAGACTTTTTAATATATGTTATTATATGCTTTTTACACTTGATAATTCAACATAAACATTTTGATATATTAAGGATTCTTAGAAAATATTTTTAAAGGCTAATATTTAACTATTATAGTTAATAGTTAAATATTAATTATAATTAACTTCTCCCCTGTTGGACAATGACTTGGTTTTTCTTCTAACATAATGTTGTAATAATCTTTGTATGTAAGTCTTTGTAACTGTTTATTATTGCCATAGACCAGAAATTTTAAAAATGAACTAGGCCAAAGCTTATGAGGATAATACTCTTGATATGTAATGCCAAAAATTTTCCAGAAAAAAAAAATTTTTTTTAACCAGTTGTTACTCTCACTAATCCTGTCAACCTTCCAAGCTTCGAAGAATGTCAGTTCTTGCCACTGCTCCTTGCTTGCTCCTGGGGAGGGGATGCAGGAGAAAGGGTGATTTAATTTTAATTGTTTTAATTTGCATTACTCTGATACCTAAGATGGAAGTTTTTAATGAATTTATCAGCAGCTTCTCTTTCTAATGTGCTTATTTACATCTTTTGCCTATTTTTTTATCTGGTTATCTTTTTCTTATTGATTTGTGTTTTATAGTCTGGATTTGAGCTCTTTCAGTTTTCTGTACTACAAATATCTTTTCCCATTCTGTCCATTGGCTTTTCATTCTCTTACTGTGAAGAGTTACTTGCCTTCTTTGGATGAGAAGTCCTTAATTTTATTGAGAATGATTTTCTAATCATTTATTTTATCATTAAGTCCTAATTAAGAAAATTTTCCCTATCCCTAGGCCCTCAAGGTAGCTTTTATTAATTTCCCTTTGATAAGAGATCAACAGTCCACTTGGTGTGCAGAAGGAATCAGATCTCAACTGTCTTCATATGGATGATCAGTTGATCCAGCCATATGGAGAGTTGATCTCCCCGACTGCCCCGCTGACTGCTTCACATGGATCAGATAAAGTTCCAAGACATTTACTTGAATCGAAAGACATTTATTAAATTTCAGTATGGAATTCAAGTGAAGAGACCTGATAGATCAACATTTTGGATGTTCTTTTTTTGCTTCTGAGTGAAAACATAAAATTTTCAGAGTTCTTTAAATGTACGTTTTGCTCTTACATTGATTAGTTCTTTTTATTTTCAAGTAAAAAGTGCATGTAGCTATGTTTTCAATGTAATTAATTTTACATTACTGTTACAAGTCAAGAAAAAGACAAGTCTAAATAATCAAATCAAGCCACTTGAAAAAGGATGCAGAAGAACCTGTTTTTCAGTACCACTGATCATTCCTGTTTAGCAGTGATCCCCGAATGTGTACGAAAATTACAGCATGGTATTCACTGTCTCTCTATAGATAGGCAGTGTAGCTTTTCCTTGGAAGAGGTTGAAAGGGCAGTAATAACCATACTTTGAGAAATAGTAGTTATAGAGCATACCATTTAGTAGAGCCTTAATAAATATTTCTCTTTTTTAACTGGCAAAAAATATATATTTTTATGGTATATATCATCATGTTTTAAAATGTGAATATATTGTGAAATGATTAAATTAAGCTAGTTAACATATCCATTACCTCATAAACCTATTTTTTTTTTGTGGTAAGAACATTTTAGAGCTACTCAGCAATTTTTAAGCATATAACACATTATTATTAATTGTAGTCCCCAGGCTGTACAGTAGACCTCCAGAGCTTATTCCTCCTGACTCACTGGAACTTTGTACCCTGTGACCAACACCTCCCCCTCCCCAGCCCCTGGCAGCCACCATTCTACTCTCTGCTTCTGTGAGTTTGGATTTTTCAGATTCCACGAGTGAGAGAGATCATGTAGTATTTCTCAGTAAATCTCTGACCATCTCATTTCCATGAGATAGTTCATTTCTGATGTGTTACAGAAGTATTCTTGTTATTTTGAAATATTTCTGTGAAACATATTTTAGGATTTATCCTAACCTTAAGTCCTGATGTTTCCTGTCAGATATTTAATTATTAATTAGGTCTTTCATATGCCCCAGAATTTGAACTCTAAAAAACGTTAGCAAATAAAAATTATGTTACAAAAACCGCATACGAAAAAAGATCTCAGGTACATATTTCTTTTTCTTAACTTTAAAAGTTTTAGGCATAAACATTAATAAGTTCTATCAATTCACCAATTAATTGCCTAGGGGAAAAGTCTTAGAAACTGCAAAACAGAAGAAGTATGGTGTCTGAGTCATTCTACTTTGAGTGAATGCTGCTGTTTCTCCTCCTAGGCACTAGCCACAGCTCTCACTCTGTGCAGTCGGGCCTGGTCAGACAGTCCCCTGCCCGGGCCTCAGTAGCCAGCCAGTCTTCCTACTGCTACAGCAGCCGGCATTCTTCCCTCCGGATGTCCGCCACGGGGTTTGTGCCTTGTCGGCGCTCTTCTACCAGTCAGATATCGCTTCGAAACTTGCCATCATCCATCCAGTCCCGTCTGTCGATGGTGAACCAAATGGAACCCTCCAGTCAGAGTGGCCTGGCCTGTGTGCAGCACGGCCTCCCTTCCTCCAGCAGCTCCAGCCAAAGCATCCCAGCCTGCAAACATCACACTCTCGTGGGCTTTCTTGCGACAGAGGGAGGTCAGGGCAGTGCCACTGATACACAACCAGGCAATACCTTAAGTCCTGCCAATAATTCACATGCCAGAAAGGGAGAAGTGATTTACAGAGTCCAAGTAAGTAAGCCCAGAGGTGGTCTTGTGCTATTTTTATTTCTTATTTGTTGAATGAAGGACTCTTGTGTAAACACATCTTATCTTAGTCTCAAGACTAGAATATTTTTGAATGTTGGGGAAAAGTTTCTTCGAACTTAAAAACTGAAAGCAAACAGTTTTTATGGTGCTGATATTTGTTCCTTGTTCTGCCATTGTCACATGGCCATTGCAGTGAGGTCTACCAGAATAGTTCTTAAGATTTTTTTTTTTAATTCCATTAGCAGAATTTAAAAAATAACTTGAGACACAAAGAGTCCTGTGAAAAACATTTTGTTTGAGATTACGTAATTTTTCGTCATCAAGAAAAAAATGAATTGGAATGTTTTTATGTATTGTATAGATTGTGGATCCCGGTCAAATTCTGGAAGGGATCAACCTGTCTAAAAGGAAAGAGCTACAGTGGCCTGATGAGGGAATTCGGTTAAAAGCTGGGAGAAATAGCTGGAAAGACTGGAGTCCACAGGAGGGCATGGAAGGCCATGTAAGTTCTTTTACAAGCTAGTGGTCTGGGGTGGGGGTCTGCGTTTTTTGAAGTCTGCCTCACTCGGATCCATGGTTTTAGTTGATTTATACATATGTATAATTTTCAGACAAAATTGCTACTTCTAATCCTGGGTGGGGATAAGAGTTTGTGAGTATATTCCCGGTCTCCAGCACTAACTTCTTGTTTTATTCTGAATCATTAGGTGATTCACCGATGGGTGCCTTGCAGCAGAGATCCAGGTACTAGATCCCACATCGACAAGGCAGTGCTTCTGGTCCAAATTGATGATAAATATGTGACTGTAATTGAAACTGGGGTACTAGAACTTGGGGCTGAAGTGTGAGCCAATGTTTTATAAAGACGTTTCTTTTTCCCTCTCAATTCCAAGACGCTGGAAAAAGAGAGGAGCAAGCAGAAGATGCCTGCAGGTATCACATCAATCCTGTATGGGAGAGACTGAAAGCAGAATGAGCTTGGTTAAGCACCTCTCCTTTGCCCTTCACTCTGACTCCTGTCACTGTCTCCATCCCCAAATAAAGCCGAAGTATTTTTTTAAGTTAGCTGCCAAGAAAACATTTTGCATGAAAGATGAAGTTCTGTTAAAATACATCCTTAAAAAAGTCTTTCCTATGCATTGCCTATGCTTTAAATCAACAAACTCTTCATTTCTAAACTATGATCTCATATTTTTCTAATTTCTTTGCCAAAAATATTTGCCATGTTTTGTCATAGAACATGAAATTCATTTACCTTGATTTTTAAAAACAGACCAGTGTAGAAATGTTCTGTTTGACTTATAGCAGTATAAAAGTTTAATGTACAGTGAAAGAGACTATGAACAGACATAGATTTATCTTATTCCTTGAGCGCTAAAAACTTTAATGAAAAAAAAACTGCACTAATTTTTTACAGCAATGCACTAAAGTCTGAGATTTCTCAGAACATTTATTTATATATAAAAATAAAGTACCATTATTTAAATTGCCTTTGGGATTAACCCCTTCCCTTATAAACATAGGTAGCAGGAACTGTGCTGCTAATTTTTCTGTTAGTAGTCTGTACTTCATGCCAGGACATTGGATGTTTTCTTTAAAATGAATATGTAATCTCATAGCTTCATCATTGACATTTCCCAGAGCCAATAGTCAGCGGACCAGTCATGTGAACACCACTGCCAGCTCCTGTGTCCACATCTCAGAGGAGCCTATGCTCTCTGCTTCTCTCCAGCAGGGCAAGCTCTGCTGGGCTCGCTTCTGGGAAGAAAATGCTTTTCTTTAAGAAGAAGGTAAATGTCCAGGAATTTAAAGAAAGGATCAATTGCCTTTTATTTATTTTATGAGTTTATAGCTCTTGAAGTTATTCACAAGCAGTTTAGTTAATCAAGTAAAATTTTTTCAAATAAAAATATCCAAATGGTGCAGTTATTATTATATGCCTCTTTAATAATTTTGCTTTTTATTTTTCCCCTCTTCTTTTTCTATTACTTGAATTTTATTTCCTGTAATTTATAGTGTGTAGCTGTAAATTGAAATATTTATAACTGTGAAATTGACTTAATTCATATGTTGTCTCATAACTTAAATTTTATTGGTTTTTTTTAAAGAAATGTATATTCAGGGAAATATATTACTCATATTTACAATTGGGCGATATGGGAATTTCAATTTAGATTTAATTTGCAACTTTTAGCATTTTTTAAATTCTTAAGAAAATTTTCCCTTTTGTTGTGAAACTCCAAAGAAAATTGTACATCTCCTCTGAGCATTTAGGAGCAGCCATCTTTGTACCCCTTGTGAATAGAACATTGAAAGAAACAGGTAAAAGTGATTTTAATAATGCATTTTGTTTAATCCAGTACATTCGAAGTATTACTATTTCATCATGTGTCACTAGCCATATTTCAAGTACTCAATAGCTACATTTACCTAGTGGCTACTGTATTAGACAGTACAGATTTAAAGTATCTTTTACTGAGGTGACAGAAGAGAAAAGCTGTTTTTCCTGCTAATTCTGATGTAGATCTCACATTATAGCATAACATTACAGTAGAAGGAATGAAAACTAAGCAAGTAAATGTGAACATAACAATCTTACTGCATTTCCACTTTGAAACCTATTTATTTTTCCTTTTTCTAATTTTAAACTACTGTGGTCATTCAGAACCTAATGTGCCTTGTGTTGACATTTCCATAGACTTCACACTTTACAAAATTTACTGTTTAAAAATACGTGTCAAATGATTTACTGAACCTTTATACAAAGGTACCCTTTCTAAATTGACCATTTAAAAAATGTCTTTTTCTGATACTGTCATTGAATTCTGCATTTGCCTCATTTTGGCAGATCTACAGTATGCCATTAAAGTTTAGTGTTTTTGGTTTTAGAGGGTTTTTTTCTGAAACTGAATTTATAATCAATTTCTCTATGTACATATATTTTTAAAATCTTCTCAAAGTAACTAACTATGTTCCCTTCTGCTTGTTCCCTTTCTGAAGTGAATATGATCTTTTCATGGTCATTGCCTAGAGAAGAGATAAGTAGAGCCTTTTCAGTCTTAGACAGAAGGTAATTCATTTTCCTACACAAAAAAAAAAATCTGACCTTCACATGATTTAATCAGAAGGGCTGGAATTTTTTCATTTCTATCCCCTGCTCCAAAAAAATTTTTAACGCATCATGTACTCTGAAAAGTCATATTTCAAATGCAAGACTAGATTTTATATGGAACATATATGTTGGGTTTTGATTTTGGGTAGCAATTGATATATATTTTTCTCAAAACAAGTTGAATTTTGTTAATATATAATTCTTTAGTGAGTTTATAAATCAGGAACCCTGAGAGAAGCCCTGTTGTTTTTCTTAAGAGTCTAAAACTGACAATCTTTTAAAAATCATAATACTTTTCTAGTAATTGCATCAGGGGAAATGGTGATAATTGAAGAAATATTCATTTCTTAAGAATAATTTGATCTAAATTATATGGAAATATAATACTTGCATTAACTTAATTGATCGTAAATTTTTGTTCCTGCCTCACCTGTTACCCCCCCCCCAGAATCGTGAATGACTTGTTTAGATTCTCTGTCTAACCTCTTTCAATTATGTACAAGACTTCAGCCTACATTAATGTCTTTAGTTTATAAATTGCCAATGCTTCAATTTCCATAATTTGAAAGTAAAAAGATACAACTAAAACACTAGCTTTTTTATTCATTTCCTTTTTATCACGTTGTATGATTGAAATCTTTGTTTTTTCTTGTTTAATTCTTCCCCACCCCGACCCCCCCTTATAAGAGAAAGATAATCATGGAATGAGTTATAAATTGTTGTCTTTTTTTCCTTTTTTTCTTTCATTCAGTGTCAAAAAACATTCTATAGCTCCTAAGCTTTTGGTTAATCTTCGAACTTATACCTTGGTGTGAACTCTTTTTACACCATTTTCAACACTGGAAAACTTTAAGGTTGACTTTTTTGCTAAAGAACTTTAATTTTTCCAAGAATCTAGATTAACATAAGATGATGATGTTTAAGGAACTTGGAAGAGTAAGTGGTGAGGCTGTATGTATATTTTTTAAGAGATTGCCTTTTAGGAAATTAGTGAACAAACTTAGTGTTCTGCCTTCTTTGACTTTGTTACTGGAGGATGATAATCTAATTCTATTAGATTTGAAGTATTTTGGAAAATATTTCAAGTGTATCTGAAATACTTCTAATTTTTTTTTGAGACGGAGTTTCGCTCTTGTTACCCAGGCTGGAGTGCAATGGCGCGATCTCGGCTCACCGCAACCTCCGCCTCCTGGGTTCAGGCAATTCTCCTGCCTCAGCCTCCTAAGTAGCTGGGATTACAGGCACACGCCACCATGCCCAGCTAATTTTTTGTATTTTTAGTAGAGACGGGGTTTCACCTTGTTGACCAGGATGGTCTTGATCTCCAGGATGGTCTTGATGACCTCGTGATCCACCCGCCTCAGCCTCCCAAAGTGCTGGGATTACAGGCTTGAGCCACCGCGCCCAGCTACTTCTAATTTTTCAAACAGAAGTAGTCAGACAATATTTGTATCCTAAGTGAGATATGGGAGATTACTCTGTGTACTAAATGTCAGGCAATGAAAATAGAAGTTTTTGTGTAGGAAACCAAGTAAGATGTGTTTCTCTTTCTGAATTAGTTTATTTTTCCATCACATACCAAAATACAAAACTCAGCCTCATATTTTTCAGCAGGGGCAGCTTAGCCTTGATAAATTCCTTCTGCTTCTGAGCATCATCCTTCTGCCTCTGCTCAGCAGCTCTGCATTTGGTGAATTGCTGTTGTGAGTCATTCATCCAGCACTGGGCCTTTTAAGCTGAAGAGTCACCCATTGTCTAGAATTGTCCTTTTCTTATAGCTAGCTTTCAGGCATCTTTCCTCCTAAATAAATATGTCACTTGAGAAAAAGGTGATAATGATTTTGTCAGAATCCTTTGACTTTATAATTACTAGCTACTTAAACATAAACTGCTGTCCAGATTGTTAATTTCTTTTGTATTTATTTTAATTAATTTTTCATGAATATGAACAAAGCCTTTTCTGGGGTGTGTGTTTGTTTTTTAAGTCCTCATTCATTCATATTCTTTTTTTGTGTAAGGTAATCATATAAAGTTACTTTGGACACAGACCCAGTTAACTTTTTCTTTTGGTAGAGGATACGTTGTTCAGATAAGGTATAAAATGTCCCTTTTTATTCTAGAGGCTTTTTCTTTAATTCCAAGATTAGTGGAGAGAATAATGTCAGTCAAGGTAAGATGGTACGTGGAACTTGCTAACGGACTTAGGACATTCATTCTGTTTCATTCTTTTTTTTTTTTTTTTTTTTTGAGATGGAGTTTCGCTCTTGTTACCCAGGCTGGAGTGCAATGGCGCGATCTCGGCTCATCGCAACCTCCGCCTCCTGGGTTCAGGCAATTCTCCTACCTCAGCCTCCTGAGCAGCTGGGACTACAGGCATGTGCCACCATGCCCAGCTACTTTTTTGTATTTTTAGTAGAGACGGGGTTTCACCATGTTGACCAGGATGGTCTCGATCTCTTGACCTCATGATCCACCCGCCTTGGCCTCCCAAAGTGCTGGGATTACAGGCTTGAGCCACTGCGCCAGGCCTTCTGTTTCATTCTTACATGGATATTGTTTTACTGGTGTTGAGAAAGAAGAAAAATTAGATATTACCATGCATTGGGGCAGCATAATTTTAATATTACATTGAATATAGCTTTTTAAAAATAAGTATTAAAAAGCCTTCTCTTCACTTTTTTTTTTTATTTGGTTAATATGCATCCAGGCTGTCTTATTTTTACTTGTTAAATGTCTAGGAAAAATTGTGATTGAAAAGGAATTAGTTATTACAATAAATCTGGTAGGATATGAGTGGAGTAAGTTTGCTTGAAACAGAAGTATATTTTCTACTTTGAATCACCTCACCAGAGTCATCTGTCAAGAATTATGTATGAAAACAATTTCTCTTTATTGCCTACAAACCACATACTCTTTCTGGATTAAGATAAATAACTTATGTTTGTGAGTTGAACTTCATTATCTGCCATTTTGTGGAATCAACCTCACATTCTTTGGTGGAACTAGAGCTGATTGTCACCACAAGGTTATATGACAACTCTGTTCTAAGACTTATACCTATTATATAGGGTTATACCTTTTTTCTTACACCTCAGCGCTGTACCTGACGATTTATAATTCGGTGGAGCCAAGCTAGAAGGAACAAAGGTCATCTAACACTGTGATGGGTATGAATTCCTGAGTATTACCTGCACAATGAGGTGATGCCTCGGAATTCACAACAGAGGAGTAATAGAGCATAAGATGGCTGCTCCAGATGACTCTTGGGTTTTGTGTACTTGTAATTGAACAATATTTTTTATATATGAAGCTTGATTCTACAACCAAAATAATAGAAGTTTTTGGGGGATGGGATCATGTCTGCTTATGCTTTTTAAAAGCTTATAGTTTAAGTAAAAGTAAATTGTAAAAACTGATTAACCCTATACAGTCTGGCAATGAGCTCTGCATGAGGAAATGGAAGGAGGAATATTGAACAGGATTCTTGGAAAGTGGATGTAAGAAGGAAAATGGGTTTTCCTTTTCTGATCATGGGCTCTGGAAAGTATTCATGGCCTTTACCAGCATTCAGTATAAACCAGAGATAAGGACATATGTACTTACGTGTGTCTGTGAGTGTGTGTGTGTGTGTGTGTGTCTGAGTGTTATTCTGAACAGCTTGTAAATATTGTAGTTGTTTAAAATGGAAAATAAAGGCTGAGTTTTTTTGGCAAATATATTGCATCAAAAATACAGTATTGACAGTGGATAAACACTGAGGAAATAAATTTTTTTTTCATTTTGCCTTCTGTCCATTTTTGTCAAATTGAGAAAAATTAGAGTACACTATATTCAGTTCTGTATGGCATGTACTTGGTTCTGAAATCATTTTAATTCAGTTCTTAAAACATGTACTTGGTTCTGAAATCATTTTAAATAAACTTTGGCCTGTAAACATCCTTCAACTTAAAATAGAGCAAAAGCATACATCATACTTCCATGTTCAACGGTGGTCTCTTTCACACTTTTCTTAGTGGAAGGGTTGTAGTTTGTATCTTCTGAATTGATCTGGATATTACATATTAACAATATTAGATGGAACATATAGGATGATAAAAATGTGTGTGTTCAATCACACACTAAATTCAGCACAGAAAATGGAAAGAACATTTGGATTATGGTCATCAAAATCAGGCGGGTACAAACTTGTTTGGTATATTTGTAGTGTGTACTAACCCAGTAATTTTACATGTAATACTTAAAATACAAGCTGATTTACAATGACAATAGACGTATTCTTGATTAAATCACTTATAATCCTTTAATGCATCATTTTAACTATTAGTAAGAACCAGAACCAGCAGGATACAGATTATATGCCTTTTGCATCAGAGTCCAAATAGTTTGCTGTCTTTTGGACTGGGGTCACAGTGGCATAAAACACATCTTCAAAGAAAGAAATTCCCTGGATGAGTTGCATTTATCTTAGAGCCAGAGATTCAAAGGGCTGTTGACTTGAAATTTAGGTCCCATAAAACTTACTCCTTTTTCTTTTTAAATTCAGATCCTGCACCACTTTATTCTTAAAATGCAGTTTGTGTAAGATTTTTTCCTCCTAAAGGAACCAAAATGTTTTGCTGAGCTGTAGCCAATGAATCTTGCCATGTTAGGTGCGCTTTCCCCTGGGGTAGGGTGGAAAGCAGCACTTTGTTAAGTAAGGGCATGACAGAATGGTGGCTTCCTGGTGTTTAATCAGCACTTACATGAAATATTTATTCTCAGCCTGGGCAATAGAGACCCCGTCCCTACAGAAACATTTAAAAATTAGCCGAGCGTGGTGGTGTGTGCCTGTATTCCCAGCTACTTGGGAGGGTGAGGTGGGAAGATCACTCTTATCAGGAGGTGGAAGTTCAAGAGGATCCCTAGGTTGCTTTGCAATTTCTCAAGCATTAACAGCAAGTGGCTGGAGATGAATCTACCTTGTCTGTGAAACTCTAAAGAGGCCATTCAGTTTCAGCGCCCAGTGAACCACGTCAAAAGGGAAAAGTCGTCTTTCAGTCCGCATTTCCTTTTTTACTTCTGAGAGCACCGTTTATGGTTAGAGAAGCAACTGGCCCATGTAAAAATACTCCAGATCTCTGTCCTCATCTTAAAGCAAATATTCTTGACCTGACTTTATCATATAAAGTCAACATTCCAGGATAGCGCTGAACTTAAGCAGATACCCAGTAGTGCCTGTGTGTGTTTGTAATACAGTTGACCCTTGAACAATGCAGGAGTGAGGGGTTCCAACAGCCCACACAGTTGAAAATCTGCACTTAACTTTTGACTCCTCCAGATCAACCCCTGTGAACAAAGGAATTTGGAGGAAAGATACTTTATTTCAGTGAACAATTTGTAAAACTGGGGAGATGCAGTG